GTGTCAGGAAACCCTCCTGCACACATTGGACAAAAACTGACCCATCTGAAGTACTCGAACTATAGCGTTTCCAGTCAATATTTGGAAAGTTAAAGTCCCCCATAACAACTACCCTGTTACTTTCGCTCCTATCCAGAATCATCTTTGCAATCTTTTCCTCTACATCTCTGGAACTTTTCGGAGGCCTATAGAAAACTCCCGACATGGTGACCTCTCCTTTCCTGGTTCTAACCTCAGCCCATACTACCTCAGTAGACGAGTTGTCATCAAACGTCCTTTCTGCCACCGTAATACTGTCCTTGACTAACAATGCCACACCTCCCCCTCTTTTACCACCTTCCCTGATCTTACTGAAACATCTAAACCCCGGAACCTGCAACAACCATTCCTGTCCCTGCTCTATCCATGTCTCCGAAATGGCCACAACATCGAAGTCCCAGGTACCAACCCATGCTGCAAGTTCACCCACCTTATTCCGGATGCTCCTGGCATTGAAGTAGACACACTTCAAACCACCTTCCTGCCTGCTGGTACACTGCGACCTTGAAACCTTATTTATGACCTCACTACTCTCAACCTCCTGTACACTGGAGCTACAATTCAGGTTCCCATCCCCCTGTTGAATTAGTTTAAACCCTCCCGAAGAGCATTAGCAAATTTGCCCCCCAGGATATTGGTACCCCTCTGGTTCAGGTGTAGACCATCCCGTTTGTAGAGGTCCCACCTACCCCAGAATGAGCCCCAATTATCCAGGTATCTGAATCCCTCCCTCCTGCACCATCCCTGTAGCCACGTGTTCAACTGCTCTCTCTCCCTATTCCTCGCCTCGCTAGCACGTGGCACGGGTAACAAACCAGAGATAACAACTCTGTTTGTTCTAGCTCTAAGCTTCCACCCTAGCTCCTTGAACTTCTGCCTTACGTCCCCATCCCTTTTCCTACCTATGTCGTTGGTGCCTATGTGGACCACGACTTGGGGCTGCTCCCCTCCCCCTAAAGGATCCCGAAAACACGATCCGAGACATCACGGACCCTGGCACCTGTGAGGCAACACACCAACCGCGAGTCTCTCTCGTTCTCACAGAATCTCCTATCTGTCCCCCTAACTATGGAGTCCCCAATGACTAACACTCTCCTCCTCTCCCCACTTTCCTTCTGAGCAACAGGGACAGACTCTGTGCCAGAGACCTGTACCCCATGGCTTACCCCTGGTAAGTCGTACCCCCCAACAGTATCCAAAACGGTATACTTGTTTTTGAGGGGAATGGCCACAGGGGATCCCTGCACTGTCTGCCTGTTCCCTTTCCGTCCCCTGACTGTAATCCATCTACTTTTTTCCTGTGCCTGAGGTGTGACTACCTCCCCGTAACTCCTCTCAATTACCCCCTCAGCCTCCCGAATGATCCGAAGTTCATCCAGCTCCAGCTCCAGTTCCCTGACACGGTTTCCGAGGAGCTGGAGTTGGGTGCACTTCCCGCAGATGAAGTCAGTGGGGACACTCGTGGTGACCCTTACCTCCCACATTCTACTGGAGGAGCATACAACTGCCCTAACATCCATTCCCACTGTTCTGAATTCCCAAACAGACAAATAAAAAAAAAACTAGTAGCCTTACCAAATCAGCGCTCAGAACCTCTTTTTTCTGGTTAGAGGAGGAGGACGGGTGGGAGACACTACCTAGGTAGTGTTTCGGGTAAAGCAACCGCCCAAATATATTACCTCACTTACTCCAAAAATGGAGTCACGCGAGGTAAGACTTTTATAATCGAAAAGCTCACCTTCCCAGGCTGCCCTCGCACTTCCTCCCGGACTCCCGCCGCTGAAACAACTGAATGACATTTTATGTCATTTTCCATATTAAAGCAAATGATGTGACCACTGCAGTTTAAACAGGGATCTCTGAGGACTGGATATTAATTTACATTGCACCACAAAGAATTATTAAAAAGAAATGTTTCACGTAAAGTAACACAAATGTTGATCAGAGGCACCACTCTGTTATTTACTTGTGTAGTCAATTTTCTCTATGTGTGTTTAGATTAATGTAGACATTTGTTTTTTCTCAGATTTGTCTAAATCGACAGTGCCAGAACATCAGTGTCTTTGGAGTGATAGAATGTGCTTCAAAATGTCACGGCCAAGGGGTAAGATTGTGCAACATTGCAGATAAAATGTGTGTGATATTCCCCTAATCATGAAAAGACTAACAGTACCTTCCTTTGCATCTAGCTACTTTCCTTGATCCAGTGAAGATTCATCCTATTTAATGTAAACGTACTTCAATGTACAAACCAACGTTAGATTGAAAGAAGAAGGATCAATTCTAACTTTTAAGTGATGCTCAATTCTTTGAAGTTCGTAGCCATCTGAATCGAGTCTTGTTCTCAACTGACAACAGTAATCAAATCTTTATGCAAATGTAATTCATTTCCACAGTTGCAAATTAAGTCTTCTCTAATATTTAATATTAGCAAAGCAAAACTGAAACTGTCAGTTCTGATAATATTAGAAAGAATTTAAGCATCAGTACAGTACAGAGCAACAGCATCAGTGAAAAACGCTTCCAACAATGGTGAAAAGTGCCTGTGATGTGCTTGGGAGGAAAGATATAAATAAGTGAAAATCCAAGCCTCATTCTCTGGTGGATATATTCTGGGGAAATATGTCCTGAATTTATAAAGGTAATTTTGGGCTGTGTACTGATATTTTTTAAGCTCAACCTCAAATCTGCATAGAAAGGCTGTAAGACCTGAATAGAACTTCTGTTCTAATCATGTAGGATTGAAGGATCAAAAAAAGCTAATTCAGCCAAGAGTGCTCACTCCATTATCCAAGTGGTCTTCATTAATCTGACTAGGTTGTAATGATTTTCTATCATAAAATAACATTCCTGCACTCTTGAATGATTCATAAATCAATGTACTTCTCTTCTGAATACTTCAGTGGATTTTCACCTGGGTGACTGTTTGTTTCTTAAGAAAATAAGACTTAAATGTGACAGAGCTGAGCTGATTTCAGTTTGTCATGGATGACAGGTTTGCAATGCAGAGCAGATTCAATTCCCTCACCAATTGCACTTACCATGATGGACTCTCCTTCTCAACCTCACCCCTTGCCTGAGGCATGGTGACCCTCAGCTTAAACCACCACCAGTTACCTCAGTTTGATGAGAGAGCACTCTGTTGTCTGGTAAGACAATAAGGGAGACTTTACCCGATTAATGATGGCCATTTGATCTTTTATTGTAATTCTTTCTCGTGTACCTTCATGCATCAATCTTAGCCAGGATCCTAACTATTTCAAGCAAAGTTATAGAATAGCTTTCTCTTGTTTTCAGTCTAACCACCAAGTATTTTTGCTGATTTCTTCTGGTTTCTGTCTGTAAATATGGCAGACTTCCTAATAAAATACAGATGCATGAGCAGACTGATCTACTTGGTCACATCAGCTATGATGTTAAGTCTTTCCATCATTCCCCCACTTCCCCTTCCCCATAGGTGAGTTTGTTGGTCAGTAGCAGTCCATGTGGCCCATGAAAGCTCCTGCTTTGGAGCTCTTGCCTCACAATAGGGAGCTTTTGCCTGAAATTCCTCTGCATAGGGATGGGCTGGGTCCAGTGAAGAATGGGTGGCTCTCTCAACCTGGAGCTTTTCAGGGCAGAGGAAACAGTATGACTTTAAGGAGAGCTAGTTTGCCCATAGACTGTGTCCACTTGGGATTGGGGAGCTCCAAAAACTCCTCACTTTGCCTCAGTAACAGATCGAGCAAGGAACCTGAGATGTGGCCTAGTCCAATCTGTGGATACTGTGTCCCTTCTACAGTCTTGCAGTACTATTTGCCACTATGTCCTGCAATGCAAGTCTGTGCTTTCAGGGCGCCCTGTCAATGTATCGGAGAGGAGTTTTATTCATTCATTTAGGGGATGTGGCATCACTGGCTTGGCCAGCATGATTGCCCATCTCTAGTTTGCCTTGAGAAGATAGTGGTGGATTGTCTTCTTGAAGTCCATTTGCTGTAAGTAGATCCATAATGCCTTTAGGGAGGGAGTTCCAGGGTTTTGACTCAGCGACACTGAAGCCATAGTAATATACTTCCAAGTCAGGATGGTAATTGGCTGAGAAGGAAACATGCAGATAGTGGTGGTCTCATGTATGTGCTGCCTTTGTTCTTCTAGATGATAGTGGTCATGGGTTTGGAAGGTTCTGTCTAAGGAGCTTTGATGAATATCTGCAGTGCATGTTGTAGATAATACACACTGCTGCTAGTGAGAGTCTGTGGTGGATGAGGTGAATATTTGCACATGTGGCACCAATCAATTGGGCTGCTTTGTCCTAGATAGTATCAAGCTTCTTGAATATTATTGGAGCTGCACTCACCCAGGCAAGTGAATGGTATTCCATCATACTCCTTACTTGTGACTTATATGGGGAACAGATTTCAGGCAGTCAGGAAATGACTTACTTTCTGCAATATTACCAGGCTGTGATCTCTGTTGTGGTTGTTGGAGGCCAGTCATCTCAGCTCCAGGACATTTTTTTCAGGAGCTCCTCAACCAAGGCCCCACCATCTTAAACCAAGTTCATCAGTGGCCTTCCCTCTATCACAAATCAGATAATTCACTGATGATTGTAACATGTTCCATTCCATTTGCTCTTCCACAGATAAGGAAGCAATCCATTCATGCAGCCAGACCCAGCTGACATCCAGGTTTAAACTGATAAGTGGCAAGTAAAAGTTGTGCCACACAAATGGCAAGCAATGATCGTCTTCAACCAGAGAGAGTATAACCCTTTCCCTATGACTTTAGTGACATTACTGTCAGTAAATCCTTCACCATCATAGTCCTGGCAATAGCCATTGACCTTGAACAGGATCAGCCACAAAATTCCAGTGGAAACAAGGGCAGGTCAGAAGCTTGGTGTCCTGCAAAAGGTGACCTAACACCTGACTCCACAGAGGCCTTCCACCATTTATCAGACTTAAATTGGAAGTGTGATGGAATTCTCCACTCACCTGGATTAGTGCTGTTCCAACAGCATTTAAGTAGTTCAACATCATCAGAGCCAAAGTAGCCCACTTGATCAGCACCCAGGTCATCACCTTAAACAAAACATACCCTGCCCCTCCATTGCAACTTTGTAGCAGTTTGGACTGTATCCAAAGTGCACTGCAGCAACTCAACTGAGCTTCTTCATAAGAAACCTTCAAATCCTGTGATCTGTGCCATCTAGAAGATGGGGTAAAGGTGAATACCACTATCTGCAAGTTCCCTTCAATCAGTAATCTGTTAGTTTGAAAGTAAATAGCTGTTCCTTCATTGTTACTGGATCAAGATCCCAGAACATCTTCCTTAGCAGCACTGAATACCTTCATCATATGGACTGCAGCAATTCAAGAAGGTAGCTTGTCAAAGCCAATTAGGAATGGGCATTAAATGTTTGCTTTGCCAGTGATGCCTTCATCACATCAATGTTTTTTTTTAAAAGCCATTCAAAATAGAGCAACATCAAATTAAATGCAACTACCATTTAAAAGGCACTGCACATCAAATTCCTTGTCCCAAGGGTTTGTCGCTTCTACAAGATAACAGAATAGGAAAATGATTTAATTTAGTCAACTCCACACAATCTAGTTGCATCAGCCAATTATACCAGCAACTTGTGTGTGACAGAAGGGCTGGCCAATTTTTAAATTGACTCCCTGCAATCAACTTTTTTGCACTTGCATCATTCATGTCACTTCTCAGTTTCTTTTTATTAGTATTATAATCATAACAGTGCACAATTCCAAATGTTTGATATCATCTTAGCATATGAAAATCATTCTTATCAAAGCCAATAGTTGTATTGTGTTTGCTTTTACAACTATTGTACTGTATTGTGATGAATATATTAATAACTGATTAATATTATGCCATTCCTTGTCCTGCTTCACCTTACTTATATCTTTACTCAAACATTTCAAACACACACATTCTTTTTTAATACTTTCCTTCATCAAAATTACTTATAAACAGCAGATGGCCTCCATCCAACACATCTGTCATGCTCCAACGATAATCACTGTTGAAAACTTTTCATTTTCTATTATTTAGGCAATTTATTATCCAATCTGTTGTATCCTCCTTTTATTAATAGGTTTCGCGGTCATTGGGCTATCTTTTGTTTTAGTATTATCTTTCTGAATTTCAGTCACCTTGTTGTAGTATTCTTTCAATGTCCTAATGACGTACGATTGGATCTCTCAAATAAACTAACTATAATTCAAGAATGATTTGAGAAAAATTAGAAAATATCATTGGACTTGTGAAAACTGCCTCATCTCATAAAAAATGCCATCAATCCATCATTACCAACTTATTTGTTGGAGAGACAAAAAGCTTGATGGAAAAGATCTCTGATTTAAAATAATTAATTGAGCCCATATCTACAGCTTTTTTGGTGAGAGTTCCATTGTTCTATCATCATTTCTGTTTCTTAATTTCTCATCTGAATAACCTGGCTCCTTTCCTGTTTTTCTCTGCTCATAATGTAACACACAAGATCCTGGCAACATTCTGGTCAATATGCACGTTACTGTTGCTAAAGCCAGTATACCATTTCTAAAGAACGTTAACAACATTATTATACATAGTGATCCAAATGGGGTCTAATTCGGACTTAATATAATTGCAGTAAAACCTCCCTTCTATGTCCTTCACTTTTTGATATTTCATTGTAACTGACTTCTATATTTTGGTGAGTTGTTGCTGATGAAGGGAGAAGTGAAGTATATGCATTTGATGTCTCATGGCCCTAAGTGTAGATCTCAGTATATAGCAAGAACAGTGCTCCGAGGAATATTGTGTCTCAGAGAATACCTGTACTCCTGGGTGGAATCAAAACACAAAGGATTGAACTTCACTTGGAATTCAAATGGGGTAAATTGGGTTATCTCTGAGGAAGGAGATATGGCTATGAAAACAGGTTTCGGTAAACATCTTGCCTATCATCATTAGGGAAATGGTAAGCAATGAACCTCTTTAAGATGGGCTTTTTTAGAAAATAAGTGACAATGAATTAATCACTAAAACAAAAGCAAAATACTGTGGACGATGGAAACTTGAAGTATAAAACTCAGAAGGTCTGGCAGCATCTAGGGAGAAAGAAACAGAGTTAATGTTTTAATTTTAAAATGACTTCCTCAGAACTCTCCATAGACAACATTGCTGCAACTCTTTATTAATGAGTAAATAGATTTATAAGAAGGTCTGGCCTGACATTGTAATCTGCAGGCTTAGTGCTAGATCAATTTACTTCCCTGTGAGGGCCTTCATCATTTTGCAAGTGATCAATATAAATAACAAGGACTTGCTTCTGTATGATGGTCATCAATGAACTTAAATTAAAATTTTGTTCTCTCTCCCATGTCCTTTTCAAATGTAAGATCATCAGTCATTAATTGCAGCAGCAAGGTTTCTTCAACTAATTGTTTGCAGTCAACTTAGAGCTCTGAACATTACTGTGGAAGAGAGACTTTTTCTTCCATCAGTATATCTCTCAAATTGGATTTGACAGTTCTCAAAACATTTACTCTGTTTCTCTTTCCCAGGCTGTCAGGCCTGCTGGGTTTTCCAGCTTTTTCTGTTTTTATACTCTATACTTTGATCTACAGAGGATACAACAGGGTATGGGTAGGCTGGAGACTAGGGCAGTGAAATGGAATATGGAAATTAATACAGACAAATGTGAAGTGATGCATTTTGAAAGGTCTAATGCAAAAGGGAAGTATACAGTAAATGGCAGAATCCTTAGAAGCATTAACATATAGAGCGATCTGGACGTACAGGTCCACTGTTCCCTGAAAGTGGCAACACAAGTGAATGAGGTGGGAAAGGAGGCATATGTTCATCGGTTGGGGCATAAAGTACAAAAGTTGGCATGTCAAGATTGGACAAACTTGGTTTATTTTCACTGAAATTTCAGAGGCTGAGAGGCAATCTGATCGAAGTTTACAAAATTATGAGAGGCACAGATAGAATGGATAGATGGACTCTTTGTCCCAGGGTAGAAATGTTAATTACTAGGGGACATAAGTTTAAGGTAAAAGGGGGAAAGTTTAAAGGAGATGTGAGAGGTAAGTGTTGCACATAGATTCATGCAATGCACTGCCAGGGAGGTGGTAGAAGCAAATACAACACAATAACAACATTTAAGAGGCATCTTGACAGATACATGAATACGCAGGGAATAGAGGGATACAGACTACATACAGGCAAAAGGTTTTGAGTTTCGAAAGGTGTCATGGGTCATTGCAGGCTTGGTGGGCTGAAGGGCCTGTTCCTTTGCTGTACTGTTCTTTGTTATTTGTAAAACTTTGTAGAAATCCATTATTCCACTGTTCCTAGCTTTTCACCATTTAAATAATAATAGTTATTTGGTAGTACAGGATGTGAGTATTGCTGAGAAAAATACATTTTGTTGGAATTTTTATCTTATACTTGTCAGTATAATTCAC